CGAAACCAATTCTGGGTGAATGAGAAATTGCGAACCAAAGTTGGAAGAAATGAAGTGTTACAACTTTTCGAAAGGATGCATGTTTTAGCCCACACTACTTCATTTGCACCCTTTCTTCATCTATAAATAGGACCCCATGGACATGATTTTGGGTACACTAATTGCATTGAGCATTCATTCTCCTCTTGCAATTCTCTCCTTTCTAATTTCATAGCATTTTCATGCATTTCCTTGGTAGAGAGGGAATTCCGTTCAAGTTCGCAGGTCGAAGTCATTTGAAGTGCTTCTATGGCTTGACGTGGTCATTGTATCTTGGGAGATGATTGTCAGAAAATCGTTAGCATCGATGCAGGGCAAATTCATCTTAAGGGAAGAGTTATACTCCCCTCGGCCAATAGCATCATTTACATTTAATTTTTTCTTATTTCATTTCTACTCGATTTCAGAAAATGATTAATTTTCTTTATATGGTTTATGCAAGGTTCAATATGAAGAATCACATGTTTTAATTCAAGAATGGAAATGGTCAGATTCGATAATCATTGGTTAGTAACTCCATTTCGGTAAGTCGAAACCTTGTTTTGATTTTGTGAACATAAACGGTATATTTTTTGTGAATATAATATGCACATAATTGGTGTATTCCCCAACAAATATGACATAACATTTGTGGCCCTTATGAGATTGGATAGATGCTGGTTCCCAGACATAAGAGTAAATATATTCAAGCAGACCAGTTGTATAAATAGTACTAGTATGAAAAGGCAATTGATGGCTTTTATTAATATGGCAAGGATGACAAGCTTGTGACATAATTGAAGTGCTTAATGGAAGACTAAACGATGGTAAGGATGCCCTAGAAGATAATGCCAAATGACACTGGCAGTGCTCTCTCCAACACTGGCCACAATAGGAATGAATGGGTCTGATAGTGTGGTAGGTAATGGGTAAATGCCTTGTTCACACCTTCCTAGAAGTAGAATCCCCTCCATTGTCCGATCCTTCACCAAAAAATATTCAAGATGAAACTCAATTAGTGCATTATTATTTTTGGTAAATTGATGCACAAAGATAAGATTTTTATGAATGTCCGGAACACATATTGTGGAATAGTTGTGCTCAAGTCATTGAGTTTGCCTGCAGAAGATTTGTCTTGATTGTTGGAATTGTGGTGCCTAATTGAAGGAGTGACAGTAGCATTATTAAGCAAAATTTAGGTAGGAATTTTGTTCCTATCTTGAGTAAGGGATTTTATCCCTGATTTGATTACTACGAGGATTGAAAATTTTGCACCTCATTATCATCCCTTATTACTTGTATGTCAAAACACATTTCAACAAAAAAGATTGGTTACTCCGTAAAAGAAACCATGGTTATTTCTTATGATGATAGAATAACTTTTAATTATTCGGGGAAGATCGTGTAATGAATAAACTACCATGATTAAGCGAAGAACTCTAAACCAGAGGTAAAACTAAATTTCCATCTTTTATAAAATTTTCAAATTTCGAGATTTGCTTAAAATGTCTTTTTGCTTTTAATGTTCGTACCATTTTCATGCTCTGTGACTAATGTTACACTGTCTTGTGGTGTTTGATTATAGATGCAATCACTTCTATCCACAAAAACCTATTGCTTTAGCAAGTAATTTTTGGCTTTCATGGTGCATAAAGCTCTTGGTTTATTTTATATCTAGAGTTGTTCTGTGTTTCTAGTAATATATTTGCTTTAGAAACTAATTGGAAGGTGTAGTGATATGAAGTCAGTTGACATCATGGTTCGTCTAGAGGACAATCGGAGTCTAAACTTTCTTTGCTCAATGGTCTCTCTCACGCTCACATGCACATGGCGGAGCTAACACCAAATGAGGGGGTGCGGCCGCACGTGCTGGCTCCAACGAAGTCACTTTCGTTGGTCGAGAGCCACAGCCACAACAAGGGCAGAAAACTCGAATTAGAAAACGCAAACTTGAGGTTAAAGATGGAAGCAAAGTTGCTTGGGCATTTTTCTATTTTCAATTGTGATTTGTGTTCCTTTTTCTGTTATTGGGCCTCTTTTTCTTTTCTTTTTTAAAAATAAAATAGGCTCAAATGCCCAATTTTATAGTGAAAAATACATGAACTAAGTATTTTTAATATCTCAATTCATAATTAAGAATTACACGTTTTCTTTCAAAAATCGGATAATAATTAGAAATTTAAAAATAAATAATAATATTATAAAATTAAACTAATCCATCCCAACCCTAAATTCTTCCCAAACAAGTTGTATCATTAATTGACACATTTGGAAAAATCTCATTTGAGCTTGTGTCTATAACATCCCAAATTTTCATAAATTCGAAAGTGTTATTAAAAACTTACTTTTCTTTATGTTAAATGTAGAACGATAAAAGAATTTTTTTTAAATAAAATAATTGAAATATTCTTAAATTTAAACAAAACATGAGCATTGTGTCTTAAAAAAAAAAATCACCTAACTAGTTAAATAACATGTCTTAGAATGAATTAAACTAACTAATAAATTGAAATAGAGAAAAACTTAATGTTTATTTTTCTATCGATTGACTTGGCAACCCGCATCACCATTCTACTACAAATTCAATTGATCCTAACTAATTTGTAAAATTATTATAAGAGTAAATATTTAAAAAATATCCAGTAAAATTCGTGCAGTTTTCATAGATAATATACAACAATAAAATCTACACTTCATACCACTCTTCTCTTGTAAATTATATCGATGACCAAACGAAACACACATTTTAAGTCATCTTAAATTCCCCGTAAGATTTCATTTCTCTTTCTAAAGAACTCGAAAGTCCACTAACAATTCATGCATATTTAATTAAATACAAAAGTATACAAAAATATACCACTTGTATAAAAGTATCTTACCTCGTTATTGAAAAGAGGATAAAATTTTGTATGTAAAAATTCTCCTATTATTTTTTAATACTTTTTCCTCTCATTCTTTCTGACATGGCTCCCTATATTTTCTGTGATGTAATAATGAAAATTCTTATATTATTTATAGTTGAAATTCACCATTGAGTCTATATGCAACTATAATTTAAAATCGTGTAATATAAGGAAGATTTCAAATAATGGAATTATTATTATATCATATTAATGGTTTTCCTAATGAAATAATCAACCAATCCTAATCATCTAATTGAATTTATATCAAATAGAAAACATGGAAGTTAGTTTGAAATTGGTTCCATTTGACTTAGTATACTAGTGTCAGTATTGAAGTAATGAAGTTTTAAAATTAGGATCAGGATCACAATTAACTATGATCAAAATTAAGATTACAATTATCTGTTTTTTTCTCCTAATCCAAATCAAAAAGTTATCTATATGTGTGGCCATCAACTACTTTAAAATCAATAATCAACTTAATTAAGTACTAAGCTTTGTTTGAGCCCCATTTTTTTGAGAAAAAAAAATGAAGAAAAAAAAAGCATTCTTGAATAATGTTTGGACCCCATTTCAATCACAAGTTTTTTGATAAAATAATATTAGGCGCAAATTCAAAACTTTTTTTTTTATTTTTAACCACATATTTCTTATCAATATATTATTCAAAAATTGACAAAAATGGGGCTCAAACAATAAATAAATAATAACTTCTTTAAATTTAAATATCTTGGGTCTAATTTATCTGAATTAAGAGGGTGTTTGAACCTCATTTTTATGAAAAAAAATGTATTTTAGAATAGTAGATTGATGGAAAATGTATGGTTGAAATATAATGAAAAAATTTCGATTTACGTGTAATATTATTTTAATGAAGAATGTGTAGTTGAAAAGAAGAGAAAAAAATATATTTTAAAAGAAAATGGAAATCAAACAAAGCCTAAATTTTACTCAAATCAAAGATTTCTAATTTATCACAAGCTACAAAAAGAGTCTAATATTGATGTATTAAGACTCATTTGTATCAAAAATCTAATTATTTGATCAAAGAATATAAGAATTTAAAATATATTTCACTCTAGTCCCTTGCCATAAGAATTTTAGGATGTTACAGTGTCTCTCGAGCTGGGCCATAAAAATATTTATTTTATTTTTCAAAAGCTAACCAAAATTTTGAAAAAATAAAATAAATTTCGTTGAGCATGTAAATTAATATATTATTACTTTAGTACCTCCATTAAAATTTAAGTTGTATAATTTGGAGGATAGTTGTAACATAAAATGATATATGTTATACCAAAAGATTTTATCTCCACTTTTGATAAAAATTGGGCAACCAAAAAATTATTCAACCTGTGACCACATTATCGAGTTCCGGATTAAACAAATCCACAATTCATTCAGACACAAGACCATATTATTTTTGTCCATCTCTATTTTTGTGAAATTATTCCCCATGTGAGCCTGTATAAATCAGAGAATGATAGATATTATTCATTTTAAAGTGTCTCGGGATAATAAATTATTTTTTAAAAAAAATTATACGAGGACCCACAGTAAAAATAAAAAGATCATTCGATATCGTCCGACTTCTATCCTAATTTCTAATAAATGCATAAATATGTGAGAAATGACATATGTACAACCTCATTTGGAAACCACACATATGGGAGGGGAATCCACGATCAATTAAAAAATCGTGAGCCTCCCTCCTGTGAGGTGGTTGTCAATCATCATTGTACAACTACTAAAATTTATAAATCTGTGACCTAATTATGTTGTGATGTCCCCAAAATTTCAGGCACCATTTGGCAATTAATCCCTTTGTGTAATGTCCCAGTCCCACTCCCTCTTTTGGTAATAAATTAAGCCGTGTCCACTGCGCGGGTGAGGCGTGTCCCAAAA